GGTAATAAGACCCTGATTATTACTTTCTTATTAGCTTATTTCTCTTTGTTCAGTGACCTGATTTGTGTTCTCATGGCCTGGACAGCCACCTCTCAGGCTTGTGAATGTACATTGGCCCTGCAGAAATGAACAGGCATGAATGCATTAGTGCAAATTCATTTATTTTAAGAGAAAACAAAACTCATTGTTCTTTTGAGAAAAATCCAGTGGCATTGTGTTATGGCCTTGCTATAATAATGAGTTCAAAATTAGGCTAACATTTATTATATTAACTAGTTATTTGGAATGTGCTGAAGTTAAGAGTGGTGATCTCTTTAAGGATTCCAAGTTCATAGAACAGATCTTCATCTTACAATGATCTAGAATTGAGTTTACTGAACGTAAGACATAACAAGGAACTTTTTACATAGGTCTTGCTGAAAGATTGATGAATCTTACTTTCATTATGGTACTCTTTTTTATTTGTTATGTTTGTTGATGAGATTGTCGTATATTCGTGCATTTAAATGAGTAAAGCAATTTTATGTTGAGCTTTAGGAAATTGAGAGATTGACAGACTGAAGAGCACCCAGAGTAGAATGATCGAAGTGGTTGAAAAGCAAGGAGGCATGTCATTCATATTATGAACAACATTAAATTTTAGCGCTTAGAATTACGATCACAAAGGAAGGAAAGGTATAAGAAGTGAAAGGGTGAAGAAGGATGCTGGCAAGATTCTGCCTTCAAGAAGCATGTAATCTTAGAGGAAATAAGATATACACAAATGATCATTTAAAACAGGAAGTGAGAAGTGGGAGACGGAGAAGCGGGGAAGATAAAAAACACTTATTTAATTCTTGTTATGTACTAGGCACTCTGTAAATCTTACACCTCTGTCGTCTCACTTAGTCCCAGCAGCCCTGTAAAAAATGGGTGATAGCCTCGTTTTATGGATGAAGAAAATGAATCTCAAAAACTTGTTCACAGTAATAGCATGAATTAGAACTGGGATTTAAACATTGATTAGTCTGTCTCTAAAGCCCAGGTTTGTCTCACTGACCGCATTGCCTTCCCATGAGCAGCACAAAGTGTTATGAAACTTCAGAAGACAGGCAGGAGAGAGAAGTTACCTTCAGCAGTGGAAATAAGGAAATAATTTATGTTAGAGATAGCATTTGAGCTAGGACTTGAAGGAA